TACAATTTTTTTATGTGTGACAAGATACAGGAATTATACAGGATAAATCTGAAATAATTGTCAGATTTTAGCGGAATATTATTCTATTCATTTTAAGGATAAACACAGATTGTCATGCAATGATCACAGTTTTTAAAAATCTTTCGAATTGTGCTAATAACGCTAATATTATGATAGTATTGTTATATTATTGGTTTTTTAATACCGTAATATTATATTTAATTCCGAACCAAATTCGTCGATACGCAATCTCTGACGGTAGCACTCTGTTTAGTTTAAAAACGTTGGAATTCCCGTATTATGCATGCGTCACGCGAAGTTCCTTCAGCAGTCAGGCTTTCGTGAACGATGATTAAACGATTAAGCAATCTCCAGGGCGCTAATGTAATCCGCTAACGCGAGAGATTAGCGAACAAATTGCGTATTATACGGGAGATCTCGGCTTTCCCCCCCCCCAAAACGGTAATTTCCGAAACAGGAGCAACTTAGGCTAATGCGAATGTCTTAATGAGGGGCGATATTGCGCGCGTGTGAGGTCCTTCCCTTGTTCGTGCCGCTTAAATCAGTATCGACTGATGAAGGGGATCGCTATAACCCCCGTTATATCATAATTCCAGCGGATTTGTTTCTCGGATATGTCACGGCACGCATGATGCAAGCTTTGACGCAACTTGACGCATGGCTATACATTTGCATAGCCGCATAAACAGGCTTATGCTCGTTTATTAATATGTAATGCGTTTGATGCGCGCGACGTTGTTCGAAAATTATGCAATGCGACCCTCCCTCTACGATAATTTATTTATACACCGTCTTCTCGCAGTTCCTGAAGTTTCAACGTGAAACATCTTGATAACGAGTTGAGATTGTGTTATGTAAGTGAAATTAAAGTTGATATTAACCGAAAAGCTCTTAAATGAGAAGGATTATAAAATCTTTTTAATAAAAATGGAGTATTTTAACAATCTTACTACGTTGAAATTAACTGTTGCCGTTTTTCAGTTTTACAAATTTTTTGTAAATTACTAGAAAGATACTTAATTATGACATATATTTTAATTACTTGTTATAGAAACCTACTCGTTCTTATTCTATTATTTGACTTTTACATAACTGGTTATGTAACTGTTTATTACGTAACTCTACGCATATGTATACTGATTTATTCGCTTTATTTTTACGAATTCCTGTTTATTCCAAACAAACAATCTATAGGTATATCAAATATATCGATTTTTCCTTCGTCGAACGAAAGACATTTTAATAACGACGTCTACGACAAAAGCACTCGGCTAAACGAGAAATGTTCACAAAAACGGGTCGGATTACCTGACGGTAGGTAACCCTCTGGCAGAGCGGGAGAGTTCGGAGGCTGTAGAGCTCAGCTCACCTTATTGGATTCCCGGGTTATCTTGGCCCAGTTCGAGAAATAATGCCACCCGGTCGAGTTTTCCCTTCGTTTGTTTGAGTTGTTTGACGAAGAAAAACGATATTCGCCGCCGCGAACTCACGCTGCGCGCCGGCAGTAAGGTTGGCAAGGATTCCTATCTTCCGGGTTCCCCGTTCGTTCACGAATTTATCGCAAACTTTCGCCGGGAAAATTGCGGCATTGGATATCGTATTAATACACAAGCGCGTCAGAGGTATAGATAAGCCGATTATTTGAACGACCATTTTGTGTGTTATACCGTCATATCTCTCTCGCTCCGTTTCTGTTAGGCCGAACGTGTACCTATATTTGCCCACGAAACATGCTTTTTCTGCTCACATATTTTTATTGACCGCGGGTTGACGGTAAAAGCTCCAATGTATTTTCGAACACCAAGTTATCGTAACGAGGCGAAATGTAAACCGCAAGAGGATTGATTTGGGCAATTTTATATTTTTTTTAGTAGTATATAAGTTTGATACTACTTTTAAACTTAATAATTCGATTCCGATAACGAAGATAATTATAGCGAGATTTATTCATACACGATAATTTTACAAGTGCAATTTGCTACTGGAACTTGTTTGACTCCGATTAAGAAACAAAAATATAAAAAAATAATGTGTTCAGTACTAAATAAATCTTACGAATCTTAAGCATTTTGTGATAAGATTCTCCCTGCGAATAATGAGTTTATATAAACATCGCTATAAAGAAAAATGTTTCTCGTCGGGGTCTACGCGCATACAAGTCCTGACATTTGACGCACACCTGTAAAAGAAAGATATATTCTTTGACAGATACGTGCTTCCCTTACCAAAATAATAACAACGCGTGGACGAAGATATATCGCAAGTAACGACAACGTGTTTCTCATGGCCGTAAAATATTTCTTGATATACCTGTGCGAGCGTCAGTACGCATTTATACCGTGTGACGAGCATTTCAAATAATTCAAATATAAAGTATGAATGAAATATATGGAAAAGATTACCCAAATATAAGAATACTCGAAGACATTTAAATAACAAAAATAAAATTCAATAAAATCATGAATTACTTTATTATTACTTTTTAAAGTAGGGGAGACCGAGGCTAGTTGTCACATTTTTCAAGTACTAATTTTTTAAAAAATGTTAACAATATTTTATAATATTGTATACTACTTTGTAATGTAGCTACATCCTTTAGGTGTAAGAAAAAAAATATTAGACTTGTATATATTTATACACAAAAAAGTTATTTAATTCTAAACAAAACCGCGCAGATGTGACAACTTACCCCATACCCAGGGTTGATTGTCACATGACTTTTGATTGAGGATTGATTGTCATGTATCTTTGATGTAGAAAAAACATATGACAAATAGTTCCTGTTTTAATATTTTATTAAAGTTAGTGTCAGTTTTTGGTGAATTTAACTTAATAATATACATGAATTAAACGAAAAATTAATAATTTTCATAAACTTTGTAATATAATTCTCATAAACTTAGAGTAAATGAAAGATTAATAATTCTCATAAACTTTGTAATACTTTCATAAACTTTGAGTAAATAAAAGAATAATAATTCTCATAAACTTTGAATCCTATCTCATTTGAGACAACTTACCCTGAACGGTTATTTTGAACAAAGAAGATTATATTTATAAACTATGTTGCAATGACGGTTAACTAAATACAGGACAAAGTATCTAAAACTATAATAGATCTTATGACCAAAAAGAAATTACGACTAGTAATTCCAAAAACCAACGGAACAATAAAAGTAAAGGCAAAAAAAATTTACTCACGACCTCCAATTTTTAAAAAGTGCTCGTAAATATTACATGCGATGTTTTTGAAACGAGCTATTTCGTACACCCGACTAACACGATAGAAGCAACCTACACTATAAAGAAGGAACTAAATATTCCACTCCAATCTATTAAGTGAGATGTAAGCTTTGTGACAACTTACTCGTGTGACTTCTAACCCCAATCTTCCCTAAAAGATATTTTTTTTAGAACGTTCTTCTTATTACGAGAGTTTTTGATAATTAGTAATGTTATATGTGGCTCCATTAACAAAAGCACACAAATTTCAAATATATTTAAATATGAATGTAAATATTTTCGGATATCTAAGTTAATCATTTCAATATTTTAGCTAAATAACAAACCGTTAATACCGCGATTTATGCTACCAATAAATAATAATCAGCATACTATGAATATATGAATATATGAATATATTAAATGCTAATAATTATTATAATATGATAATGTTAAAATAATATCAATATCTAAACCGCATCATCTCGTTGCTATAGACTATAGATTAAGGAAAAAGTGTTTATTACATATTTACGTATAGTTGAGTAAAAAGTTCGCATCAAAGTACTTTCCTTATTACTCCATTCTGATCGTGGTCCCCAAAGTAAATTACATTTCGCCTTTTCGAAACGCGCGAGATTCCGATAAAGAGGCGGTTCATCGAAGCGAGGAAATAACCCGCGCCAAGAAGCATAGAGAGATCCCACAAAGGGCTGGGGCGCTATCATGACGATAGTGATAACGACGCGAGAGAGAATCCTACACGCTCTTTGACGATCTTCCCCGTCGTTTCTCGACCAACGAAGAGGTCATTCGGATCGCCCATAAAAGGATATTTCAAAGTTCTCCGCGCGGGGTATGGGATAAGACGGCGAGAATATTGAATTCACCACGACCAAATGCCACTCCAGATACGTCCAAAATAACGTTTACCGAAGCCGATTTTCCACCGACGTGGGTGGAAAGACGCAAAAGGACGTAATTTTACTTTTGACCGCCAAGCCTCTTTCTCTCGGGACGTCGCGTCGCGTCGGTTCGGATGTGTCAAGACTTGCAACGACGCCTTTGACGAGCAAATCGAATCGACGTAGACGGTAAAGGGCTGCAACCGCGTCGTTGCACTCGCGAGCGTTGAATTTGCCGTCGTGAATTGCGAGGCTCCATTGGCAGCTTGCCAAGGCAGATCTTTCGGTTACCGAGACTCGAATCGGAATTCGAATTTCCGATTTCAGTTTAAATTGTTTATTTTTCGGTCACCGGGATTTGTTCGTAAAATATCTTATATTTTAAGACTTTAAAAAATAACTATTTGGAATTATTTAGGTAAAAACATAGATGTTTTACATACATGTCTAATACTATAGATGTCATGTAAAATTGTATATAATTTAACAATGTTAATAATATTTAATGATTCGTTACTATGAACTTCTAATAAAAGTTACTATATACATATAATACTCAATATACAAATGTATACAAATAATGTACAAAATATATCTTTGTGATTAAATTTCCTTAACTTTCTCAAAATGCACGATAAAAAACCTGCCGTTTCTTCCAAAATTTATGTTTTCTAACATTTTCATAATATTTTTGCGTAATACACTGACTATTGATTTATCACAAACGCAAAATTTTCGCTTCGAGGAGCCAAGCCTCACGGTTTGCCATATTTATTTGGGACGCCGTTCTCCACCCATCAACACGTAACTCCCTGATTAATGTTTTCTTTTGTGTGTTCCACGGGAGTGTAGTCTCCGAGTTCGCCCAGGAGTTGGGCGCCGCGATGGAGAGCCACTCGGCGAACGTGCGACGTCTGGTCGATGAATTTCGCAGTCGATCGGGCGACTCGAGAGTCGATGTCGGCGGTATGCGACGTGTTTGGGAAAGTTTGCTGCGGCAGGTCGAGGCGGACGCAGCTTCTCACCTCGATCTGGCCGCGGTGCTGCAGCAGCAACTGTCGAGGCCCACCTTAGAGGCGAGCTTCCACCGAAAGCTGCAATCTAGGAAGGTGAGCCTATTTTTTTTTCTAAATTTGTAAATTCATTCGTAAGTAAATTCCGTGAAATTGATGAATACCGTGATATTCCAAAGTAATTTCATTTGGCGACACAACTCGTTATACACTTACAATCTATCTGTATAAGCATTTCCTTTTACCGTGACAATGTGTTAACACCCGTATTGTCATCTTGCGCGATTACAATTGCTATTTCAAACTATCAAAAGACGCTTCGATTGCACCAGGTTCTCGACAAAGTTCGCGTTGCTTAGATATCGAGTCACGGGAAGAGACAAGTTCGCCGCAATTGCCGAACGCAGACGGTAAAGTTTCCCAAGCGACCCATTCGATTATTCGATTTCAACGTTGCGCGTTCCGAATGGCATTTCAATCCCATCAGGGAGCGTCTGTCTCTCCGGGTCGCACCGTCTAACCCGATCTCTCGCGTCCTATCCAATCTATAACGTGTATACCGCGTTTCTCAGGTATTCGCCCATCGCGACGCTTACGAGCAGGTAGTTAGCAAGACGGAGGAGAAGCTGCAGCGTACCAGATTGGATTACAAACGCGCATACGCCGCGTTGTTAACCAACGAGGCCGGCGGCGGCGCCGAGCAGGAATTGAAGCGCGCTTACTTTGAGTCGCACAACGCCTATATTCTGCAGCTACGCGCCACCAACGCTATTACCGAGCGCTATCAGTCCCATTGTTTGCCGGGACTGCTCGGCGAGATTGCGGAGGTCTACGAGGAACTTTGCGGACTGGCCTGCAAGTGCGTCGCCGGGACCTCGGACGCGGCCGGGGAACGGTCCGGCGAACAGGCGAAACGTTATCAAGCCGTGGCCAAGGAAGCGCAGGCGATTGTACCGTCGAATGATCTACAGGTACCCTACGTTCGCTTTCTGAAAAGAATTGTTGAACCCGCGAGATATGGAAAACGCATATCCGAGCGCATATGCTTTTCTGTCTTCTTTTTCGTTTCGCTGCAAAATGTCTCAGGTGCTCCATTACGATAAAAACAAAAAGTAGTAAACAGTATATAGTTGTTAGCCACTCTACAATAATTGGCCACATCTTTAAAAAATTAATGATTATAAAGAAATACTAGTAAAATGTTTTTAATTATAAAAAAATAATAATTCTGATATTTTTGTATTTATAATTAAAAACATTTTAATAGTATTTCTTTATAATCCTTAATTTTTTAAGATGTGGCCAATCATTGTAGAATGGCCAACAACTGTACTGTTTACCCCTACTTCTATCTTGTTGAAAGATATAACGTGTGAAACATGTCCCTCCTTCTTGTCAGAGCAGTATCTGTTCAAATCGGCGGTTGCAGAAAAAAAAGATATGCGATTGTCTTTAACTTATCCCTCTTCCGCGAGGTCAAATCTCTCGAGTCGGCGACATGACGACGGCGAGCGCGTCCACCGTGTCAATCTCGCAGCTCGATACGTCAATCGGAACCGATCGATCGTGCGCAGATATACGATGCTCGACGACGATGCGATTGTACGTATTCCGGATATATTGATCACGCAAGAGCAAATAGACGGTGCCGGGGCATATATCCAATTTCGGGATGGTGAGGTATCCGATGGCGGATTACAATCGTCGGTATTCGGTGAAGAGAGACTGAAAACAGGGCCGCCTGATTAAAGGCCGGTCATATTCGCTGTGCGGCGGGGCACGTGTCCAGGATATATTGGCCGCTCGAGATCACCGGACGTCGCGCTCGTGTGTACGTGTGTTTGCGCGTTACCGTGTACCTATGTGTACGGTGAGTTAACTTGTTCGGCTGACCAAACGCGCCGGCATTCACTGATTTGTCCTCCTTGAACCCGTCGGTCGATCGCGGGCCCTCGTCGGAAATACCGGTTTCGCTTAAATGCATGATCCCTGTCTGCGTCGCATTTCAAGAGATTATTAATGCCGGAACGATGACAGTGACACGACGAATACTTTTTTTTTTCGGAATTTCACCTCGCGTTGACGGTTTTAATTCGAGATCCTTGATTTGTGACGAAAAGAGACAGATATTAAAGCTAGAGGTAATACATGTCCCACATAAATTTACGAAACGTGCTATGTTACATTATATGTACATATATATATCACACATTATATCATTCTATTTTCAATTTACACCCAACTCTCTTTTTACGCGGTTTTTCTACATAACGCGGGTTTTTTTTTTAATTTTTATAATCTCTCATGTACATGTACAGTACAAACCTTAATTTTAATTCCTAATGACGAATTAGTGAAAATTTTTCAATCGGACACATGTGCCCTCATATTGTCATGTTAAAAAAGCGAGCAATTCGCGAGACAGACTATATTTTCCAATCATTGTTGTAACTCCAATCATATTTCAGCAGCTCGGTTGTCATTGTCAATCATGATTCGATTTATTATTCATTGTTAGTTCAGCTTATTCTTCAAACTCAGTCATGTAAACAGCTTTCAAAACAGCGTGCGCATATTTCCCCCTTTTACAAAGTTAGAAATCATTATACACATAGCACATACACTTTCAACCGAAGAGGGTGCGCGTATTAAGTTAAAAATTCAGCGCGATTGTTTCAGTCTAGTCTTTTTTGATAACATTTTTATACGGTTTTTCCAAATAAACGCAAACGCGTATCTGTCGCGTAAAAAGAGTCGGATATTCAGTTATTTCCCTCGCGAATATATATTTTATCCAATCCCGTCTCACTCTATTTCATTTTCGTGTTCGCCCCAGTTATGAAACGTAATGTCAAATAATTTAAAGAGGCGAATATGTAACGTTATTTAAGACCTTGGCGCGAAACCTATCTGTGAACGCGACGCCGCGGAAGCCGCCGCGACGTCTGTACGTCGCGCCGGCACCACCCGAGCAGATACCAATGGAGAGAATCAGTCAAATGCCCACGCTCAGGGACGAACTGGTACCAACGGGCACCAGCACGCTCCCGCTCATGGAGGATCTCAAACGCGACTACGACGGTCTCAACCTGGAAATAGGTCGTCTGCAAGACGCTCTGGACGCTCTCGTGCGAATGCAACGCAAGTACGTACAATTATTTTTTATGTAACCGCGTATTTACTCGTAACTCGGCGAGTAACGAACACAACAACGTATTAGTCTGTCCAAAGCAGGATTACCACTCATCCCGATTTTACCGAGACTGTCCCGATTTTTCATTATTTGTCCCGCATCCCGGCGGGATGACAGCCGGAACGCTAAATGTCTTGATTTTTAGAGAGCAGAAGTTTTAAATTATTTTGACAGTCATTTTGTGACTTTGTTTTTCCTATGTAAGCAGAAGCTTTAACGTAAAACCGATATCCCTTACAGAAATTTTATATTGTAAGTGATTATTTGGGCTAGTGATTGATTACTTTATTTTGAGTGTTAAAAGCAATGTTTTTAATGCTTTTAATACTCAAAATAAATCATTAATTGCTACTCAAATAATCACTTACACCTTACAGTATTAAATTGCTGTAAGGGATTACTAAAGATATTTATCCACTTTTGATCAACACTGAAGATATCAGTATTGAATCTACGATTTATCAATTGTTGTATCCTGTACTTTGAGCATTCCACCATCTAACGCGTTTGTGGAGCGAGTATTTTCCTATATCACTAAAATGGATAAATATTAGAATAAAAGGCCATACTAATGAAAAGATAAAATATACTATATGCATACTTGTAAATGTTTCTATTTATCAAACTTATTCCCTTCTTTCCCCAATTAAAAGTCCCGATTTCTGTTAAAGAAAAGGTGGTAATCCTGGTTCAAAGATAATTTTTTTTTAACACGTTGTCCAATCAGTAATTTTTATGTGACTTACGATGTACGTCACAACAGAATTTTTATTATTATAAATATATAATGATAAAATATTGTGTATTAAATTTTATTTTATATTGTGTCTAGTTATTGATGCTTTAGTTAGAAAGCGCTGGTTAGAAATGACCTACCATGGCAGTGAACGTGTTAATTGAAAAATTATACACGTTAATTTATGTAAAAAGTTAATTTTATCTTTGTGAATTTTCCCTTTTATTAAATTGGATTTTTGTTTTACATTTTACGCTAGAAATTTTTCATTTCTGTCAAGTTAATTATAATTTATTATAACGTGACAAACTTGTGAAATGTTTGAAGAAGATATGTATAAATTTTATTATTATTCGTATTATTATGAATATATTTTTTTCATTAAGTATGTTTTTATTACCATTTACCTGAGCGAAAAGGTTAATCAAAATTGCTCTTCTCGACTTTCGAATATTTGTTACCTTGATAGCTATATTTTTCACCCGGTAGCTATATTTTCGGTCGGCGTGGTAGCTTGCATGGAAATACGTCAGTTTTTTAATCTTTTAAGAAGAAAAACACGGGGATAAGAGTTATTTTATCACTTCCCATTGCAGGAGCGCCGAGAGTAATCTTTACACGAAAGTAGCCGAGCTGCAGGAAGACATTTCTCTGAAGCGCCTCGACCTCGGTGTGGCGCAACTGCGTCTAGCCGCGGTGCAAGCACAGGTATGCAAGCACGTTCTTTGTTCTCCTTTAGTTACCGCCATATTACGCAACGTCCGTCGCGGACATTTATTACTTTATTCGTCTCTAATCCTGACATGCCGCATCTATCACTTTATTCATCCCGATGCAAAAAGCGTGTGCTCGTATTTATCATCCGACTTGCGCATCTCGAAACGCGATCCCGCAAGCTGTACGCCATTTATCGCAATAACACGGATTATATGGAAAATAAGATATACATATTCAAACACAATTTTTTATAAAACTTGCTTACGGAGCAGTTTACAGCAATTCTAACAACGCGCAACGTGCGCGAAATACAATATGTGTTGCGGAACAAGATTTCAGGTTAAATTCTAGAATAAATAGTCATATATTAAATGCCTCTATGTTCTCGACCTGAAATTGATCAGACATCTATCCTCCACGTTCTCCCCCATTTCATCCAATTTGTCCGACCGCGCGTGGCATCGAGCCTCATCTATGTGCAGGGATGGATGCCACCAGTGAAGAACTGCTCAATTGTTCGCACGTTATTAACTTAAAATGGAAATCGTGCACCATCCAGAATTGATAGAAAAAAGGAACTGTTAAAGATAACGAAGTCGCCGGTATTAATTACCAACCTCCCAAGTAACTAATTAATGCGGTAATAATTGTAAACTGATACGCAATCTCACGTTTGCAAAATAATTACGTTACTTTATGCTTTATGCGGTTATAAATATCACGAGCAAACCTACGTTCGTTATAATGTTGGAAAATTGGATTTATCTTCCCACGGGAAATTCAATTTTGTCAATGCGTTCCCAAAATAGATCAATTGCACACGATGGTGTAATTCAAAGAGGAAAACTTGATTTATTTCGAAAAGAGGAAACATTGTTGCACATATAATCTGAAGAGGATTTTTTTAAATTGTGGCTTGTAAGATAATTTTGGCGCACGAAAAAAATGACGTGCGCAGGATCGCGCGCGCATACTACAGGGTTCGCGGACGCGGTCTGCCCGGCCCAACGAATTCGGAGGCGCGATTTCTTGATGCATGTGTAACGTTGACAAATACGGACGGCTCACTTTCCAAAAGTTTCCCAAGTGGGAGGCTCGTCTGTGGCCATTCACTGGCAATTGGTCATTCACTGATGCGCTTTAGCCTAAACGCCGGATAAATACTGACGCGCGCGCAATCGCGCGACATGCGCCTTTGCAACTGGGTCATCGGCGAGCACGAGCGTCTGAAAATCCATTTCTGGCCTCGTCGAGAGAGTCCGTCTATCCAGGTCAGGCGAGCAGGATCGTTGCTGTCTGGCCGCGCGCTGCCGTTTTACCGCTCCTCGTCGTGTAATATCGAATCGTGATCGCGTCCAGCCCGAACGATGGGGTGGACTACGTTACGCACGCGAGTCGTTAGTATTTTTTTTTCTTCTGGTGAATTATTGTTCCTAGCACGCTAGATCGCGAGGCCCAGGGATGCCGCATGATTCAGTGGACTCGCTCGACGAATAGGCCGCCCTGGTTGGAAAAGTGCCTAACAGTGCTCTTGATATCTATTGTTATTAAGAATATCAGCATTTGGCTATCTGGTGATACTATTCCAATGTCGATACAATATTGTTACTTATTGATTTTCGTTACACTCTAAATTAAATTTACCGTGATTTTACCGTTTAACAGTAACATAAAATAAAAAAACTTGAAAAATGTATATTAATGTATTAATCAAGTTTATATAACGATTATACGAACACGGGGACGTTATGTTATTAGACGGATAAGGAGTTATTCATTGTGAAGTCGAGCACAAAGAGGCTAATGTTGCGGCGGTGAACAATGGCCGAGTATGTTCTCAATGACCACGCGGGATCAATGAAAGTTGACATGCACGTATTGTCAATGAAAACATTCCCGCAGTTGAAAACGATCGAATCGTGGTGATAGATCCATGGAAACATTTCAACCAGAGCGGTGTATTGACGCATTTTCATCAGGCTAGCGTGTGTTGCTAAGCGCGTATTACGACAGAGATGAAACTCCTAATCGCGCAACGAGAAAACTTTATCCCTATATCCTGTATAAAGTACAAAAGTGCAGTAACGTAGCTCGGTATAATCAGTTTAAAAGCTTATGAAAGAACCGTTCTTACATGGTTTATAAATTATTTTTTAGAGGGTTAGGGTCGATAAGAAGGGGTAATTGTTGTTTACGTTGAGATTTATATGCAGCAATTATTGGCGACTATCAATTTCACTTATTTAGATTAAAAATACCCAAGATTTTGAATTGAAACGTGCATGCATTCGTCAAATCGCCAGGTTCGCGCGTAAATTAAACTCACGTAATCTCGCTATCTTGTGCGCAATCAATATCCGCAAGACGGCATATGTAATATAATATGATAACAGCAGAGGAGTCGCTGGGATAATACTCCCCACGTGGATATAGATTAAACTCAATTTCAAGTCACGTGTCTGTAGGGCTTGCTCCTTACTCATTCACGGGGACGCATAAATGATACGCGAATTGATACGCAAAGAAGCGTGAATGTCGTGATTGTCGTTTAAGGGTGATTCTGTGTGCAACGGTAATGGACTCTTCTCTTGTTCACGAAGCGTAAACTTATGCCGTACTCATAGTCAGCTTCCTTGAGTAAAGATTCCTTGTTCCTCATTCTACACTTCATAAATTTTAAGGTTCCTTGATCGATCAAGGAAGGTTAATGAAATGTAGGATAAATAATAAGGAACAATGGAATCCTTATTCCTCAAGGAAGGACTATGAATACGGCTGTTCGTACAGAACGTCCTAAATCACCTTTGCATATGGATTAATCGATATTAAGTCCATAATTCCTTACTGGAAATTTTTTTCACGTAATATCTTATTCATAGTGATTTTATTTTCAATTTTAATTATTTCGATAATTAAGCCTTGAGGTAAAATTTTGTTAAGATCTAATTCAACGAAATTAAATAAAATAAGTTTTAACATTTGCACATTTCGAACTCTTTTAAGTCTTTTATTTTCAAAACTTTAATTATTCGATACTTTTAGATTTTATTTCTAAAAATAAAGAGAATATATCTCAACATTAGAAAGGCATTATACATTTCACAAAAATAATAATAAACTTTTCCAGAAGTTAGTTGCTACAAGAAAAATCGCGGAATAATTATACATGCATTAAATATATTATATTACATATTATTAATGTAATTATTAATGTAATTATTAAATATATTATTAATAATTATTAAAAATGTGTTATACATAAAAATATATATATTTTCTATGAATTGCCACCTACAGAAAGAACTTTTCGGGGGCGGGGAAGCTGGTCAACCGGATGGAGTGGCCAGTCGGAAGATGTCGAACGGTTCAACCGGAAGCCCCAAGCTGAAATGGCTGAAAGCGTTCAAGAGCCTAAAGACCAGTTCGCCCACGACACCGCCGCTGTCTGACAAGTGAGCTACTTATTTCCTTTCCATTTATACCAATTTCCACCACGTGCATGCCGCGAAAAACCCCGACAAAGTTTCCGACGCGACGAAGATGGTTTTCTACACCCGGGCGACCCCCGGGAATTATATATATTTTATTCTCTATATGTACTCTTCGATACAAGTCCCGGAAATGAAAGAGGATCCACTTTTGCTTTTTCGAGTTAATCCGACATTGATTGTTTCATCCGTGTTTCTCTTTGCTAAATTTTGTTTCGCGACGCTCAGTAGAGAATAGCGCAGCTGGATGCACTCGTGGGATGCGCAAATTGAAATTCGAATACCATCGTCACCATCGAAAGGAAATAAAAACATGCAATGATATATAATTCGAAATTCTACTTCAAAGAGATGTACCACTAAAAATCATAACTTTTCTTCTATGCTCTCACATAATACATACATATTTATATTAAAAAAAGAACTGTTTTTTGCGAATCCTACGTGACGTATGCATGAGCAAATAAAATATAACGAATGCTCTTCAAAGATTAGTTATCGCTTCATCGTGATGTAGATAGATAACTCTAATTCAACGTTGCCTTTTCCATCCGTTATTTCAATAGGGAATTAGAAATTTTCTCGCAAATTTCTAGAACGTTAAACGTTAAAATAGGAATGTAGTCACCGTAGCACTCTTATCCTATATCGCTGTATTAATTGAATTAAATGCGAAAGTTCTGCAAGGAAAGCTTGTGTTTGTGTTTCGCAAACAATTAATTCGTCAAACATTTCACTTGCAATACGATAACGCCGCCATCTCGGAAAACAAACGGCATAGAGCAAATAAAGTTTTTCTTGCTGCACTTTCGCACACCTATATAGAAACGATGTTGTCAAAGTCAATTCTCAAAGACGAGACGTTCGAGTTAATATATGCTTTTACTTCCGTGTGCTTTGTAAGTTTCCCAATTAGGGGAACCATAGACGTTAGACGAAAGGGACTTTGAATAACCGTAGATACTGTTTTGCGAATGCTCGACTAATAAAGAGGAAAGCAGGCAACCATGTACCACGCAGTTTCCACCGTCGTCACCATGTCCAGGTAAGTTTCCGATTGTTCGTCAACAGTTGCCATTTGCGATTCTACTTCTGACATTTGAAGAAGGATATTATACTTGAAGCGTTCACAACTATTTACTACACTGAGAAAAAAATGTTCTGGATTTTAGTAAATATTAGTTTGCATACAACTGTGACTCTATTTACCAAAATAAAGCAAATTTTCCTTTTTATTAATATATGTGTATTCACTAGGAAAAAAATATACTAATAAAAAGGAAAATTTTCTTTATTTTAATAAATGGAATCACAGTTGTATATGCAAACTAATATTTACTAAAATCCAGAACATTTTTTTCTCAGTGTATTTATAACAATCGTGAGAGAGATTTATTCTTATTTCTTAAACTAGCGCCAGACTATGCGCAATTCGTGACTCATATAACGTTCGTGAATAATGTGGAGGAAAAATTCGTCGACGATTCGTCATTTGCACTGATTCGCTAGTCAAGCGGTTTTTTGACAAAGTTCAAAAGACACGAGTCATCACGAATCAATCCATTCGTGTCGCGCTATATACTACACGTTTACAATTCATGCTATCAGTTCATCAGGTAACTAAACATTTATACTGTTGGATGTTGCTGAAACTGGCCAAAGTAACCACGAACTAAGAAATGACGAATTACGAATTACGAATGACATACTGCGAATCGCGAATAGTGTGGGAGATTTCCACTAGCAAATAACGAATCTAAACGAATCGCGCATAATCTGGTTAGCTTTAGTCTTATTATTTATTCTCACATACTAACAGACCGCATTGAAATCCCTGTTAACAGAGTTTTCTGATTTTCCTTGTCTTCCGACCTCAAACTTTTGTTACTCAATAAAAAGAAAAGAGGCGCATTATGCGCGACATCGCTATATTGATGTTACTTTTTGAATTTAATTCTCCAGACAAAACAAAATGTGTATTTTCCATTTAATTTAATGCACTCTTCCCGCAAGAGCACGTATGACGAACGGTAATAATAGCACGCATCGCAAGAGAGCACGCCGACTTTCGCGAGACCGCGAGGAACCCGGTGAACAAGGGAGATTGCTTTCGCAGGAAGAGCCTCGAGTCCGAGGGCGGGCACACTTGGCGCGAGTACACGTATCGCAAGATCACGCCGTGCGACGCGTGCGGGCAGGTGCTGCGCGGCCACAGCCGCCAGGGCGTCCGTTGTCGCGGCTGCAAGGCGAACGCGCACACGGACTGCATCAACATGGTGCAGCCGGCGTTGTGCCCGAGTTTGGCGCCGAAGAAGGGCGGCGGTATACCGCTTCTACGACGGCAAAAGACGCAAGTGCCCGCCGACGAGGTGCCGGCGTCGTCCGAGCACAGTGAGTACCAATCAGAGATCGACGAGATCCATCACAGAGACGCGTTTTACTTTCCCTCCTGCCCACCCTTTCTCCCCGCCATCAGCGACAGCTCTCTCATTGTCGAGGACGCTTTGTCGATGAACACGAGGGGAACCGGTCGATTTCCCGATAAGCCCGTTATCTCCCGCCGATTGGATCGGGGATCTTTCTTTTTTTTTCCCCTGTATTTCCGCGGGAGAACGTCGGGTTTCCCCTTTATGCATGACGCGTAGTTGAAAATTGTTAGAAATTCATCCGGAGATATACAGCCAACGCGGGAGGATTTTTTTTCCTCACAATTTCTCTTGTTCTATGTCCAGCGACGAGTGAATGGATTCGCAAGGAAGAACAGTGGAACTCGAGAAATAAAAGTTATTAAAATGAATTAAGCACCTTCTTATGCGCAGGAAAATTATTCATTAAATAATTTGATAGAATATGAATTAGATTGTAGCTTCTTAATCTAAGAATTTTTTAATATTCTCGGAACTCGCTGTACAATTCCATTCATTCTGCTGAGATTGTGATAACTGTTATACATATATTAAAAAGTAGTGAGAGAGTAAAATGCTCGTCCGTGATATACAAAGTTGGATTTGATACAGAAAGTAGTATTTTTTACTGTCGACTGAAATCTGTCCTGTCTTTCTTTACAACTCTGCACGACATATTTATTTTTAATTCTCAAGATTTTATCATGAAATATCGAGTAGTGATAGACATAAAATTAAGATTTTCTCAAAGTTGTTGATTCATTTGAAGCATACATATATCTCTCTGCACTACGATTTAATTCGCGAAGATTATTCGTTCGTGCTGTTGCCAAAGCCGCTATATCCGTTTATCGCGCGCCATCTTTTATCATTTATCAACGCCAAACGAAAAAAGGGAAGAAGAAGACAGATCAATGTGAGAAAATTGAGCAATTGACTGAGCCCGCGCGACTCGAAAAACCATCGCCGTCCGAATAAGTTCGTCCGGTGCGCTTTTGCATTGCTGTGTCTCTTTATCTCGTGTGGGCAGACGTGGACGCCATATACCAGGTGCTGAAGCAGGCAGGCGAGATCCGTGGAAACTCGACAAACTCACCACCTACGCCTCCCACAGCAGAACATCCCCCCTCCGGTGCAGCACCTTCGTCAGCGAGGGCCTCCTCCCATCCCTGTTCCTCGTCCACCTCTGGTAAGGCGCACCACCAAGAATTCCTACCGACCTTGGAACGTACGTCGGAACCCCGAAAATTTTCCCACGTACAGTGGCGGATTGCGTGCCCGACATTCGCCGGGATCTCGAGACGAGGAGAAGCTCGTACCTCATATTCCAGAATTTCGTTGTCGGACTTTATTCTCTTTATATCGTTATTAATTTTGAATTTTGTTAAATTTTATTAAAAGTACAGTAATAGGTTTTTTTCAACCATTTTATTATATGATAATAAATAAGAAGTGCTTCTTATTTATTATCATATAATAATCTGAAACTAGAGTTTTTAGTAACATATCTCGAATAAGATTTTTGAGTGTAATCCGTCACTGGGAAAAATTCATAGAATTCGATATCCAAAGCTATAGTTCAATTTTGACAATCGATACGCTTGTAAAGCCGAAACGTGTCGGAATTATTGGGGCATATCTCTCTATCGACGTAGTACTGGAGCAACATATTTCTCGAATGTGTATCTTATTTTATCTAATCTAATAGTAAGTTCGTATTTAATCGATATTTAATCTATTTTTTTCTGTATAATTCTGTACCACTATTCCCCCTGTACACTAGAATTTTAATTTTAATTTTGTAAACTGAATAGTCTCCCTTATTAAACTGTAAAAAAAAAAAAAATAACTTTTAAGTTATTATTTTTATTCTTTAGTGTATCGTAGTCATTGTTACTGTAATACTCAAAAGAAGATAGGAATATAAACTTAATATAATAAATTATATGTGTATAAAGATCTTATTGATAAAAGAATTGAATTATAGAAACCATCAAATGCATTCAAAATTACCTACTTTTTTTCAAAGAGAAGCAATATGTGATGTCTCGAATTTTCTATACCTTTATAATACTTCTATTTCATATTCTTATCTTCTCGACTACTAGTTAAGTTGCTGTTACATGTAATTGAATTTATGTATGTATAATTTCTTTTTAAGCACGTGTATATGTGTGTGCGTGTTTAATGTCACCCGTGCTCCAGTACTGTCGGTTCCAAGGTCTAGAAGTCATTCTATGTGTTTATGTAAAGCCGCTCGTCTTCAGGGACATGACTCGTAAAATTCGTAATCTATCGATTCTTTAATGTTACACTCCTTTCTTCTTCTTCTCCTTCTTCTACACCCATTTCTTTTTCTACCGCTCTGCTTTTCTCTTCTTTTCTATTCTG